GGGGCTCCTGGCCTTACTACCACGAACAAGAAGCTACTAGGGGCTCCCGGCCTTACTACCAGGAACAAGAAGCTACTAGTAACAAAGTGTGGTGAGGGTCTCTAGATTTTATGTCAGTGCTTCGCCCACCGACCTGCCTTCCCGCCGGAGTTCTGGAGCGGAGTGATGCCTGGGCTTTTACTACTTAAACTAAAGGCTCAGGACTCTTAGTAAGTAGATGAATATATAGTACCATTTAGCACCACATAGTAACCCTAGATACCGATATAATTCTATATATTTAGATCTTATATATATATATTTTTTTATTACATTATACAAGTGAACTCAATAATCTTCGCTTTTCCAGACATTTTCCAAGAATATCTACTGTACATGTCCATGCATTTCTCGAGAAATCTCATTATGGGCGGCATGTATATTTTTTCAGAAGTCTTCAGCCATTTTGGTCTTTGCCAACGTCAGGTCGTGCTTTCCCTTCACATTTTATTGGAGAAATCATCCAGGGTCTTCAGCTTCTTTTTCCTGTCGCGTGGGAGTTTATTGTTCTATGTTGTTCGGTCTCAACCAAGGGACCTTTTGACCAAGCACAGGTATTGTGTTGTATTTGGCTGCGCCTGCCCATTCTGCTTTCCTGCACTAAGGGGTTATTGCCCCACCAACGGACCAACAGACCACAGTTCCAGGGTTCCGTCGCACAAACAAAGACATTGCAGTATTGGGATGGAAAACCACTGGCCCTAGCGACAGTGAAAAGATTCAGTGTTGAACAAAAAGTAACAAAATCAGTTCCCGGGCATGCCGGCGGCGGAAGTTTCCTATAAGAACAAATTGACCTATAGGAGTGTCCCGGTTCTTTCCACCATGCGTGTCCCTCGTGACGCTCAGTCAGACGCATGCGCTCCGGACTTTTGACCAACGCAGCCCACCTTGCAAAACGTCTGTGCTCCCTGTAGGATCAGCAGCTCGCAACAGCGTACTGGGCTGTGTCTATGCCAAAGCAAGATCAGCCGACCCCGGCGTGCTGAAGCAACTGGGCATGTGCAATCGAAAGTTAAGTGCAGCTGCTGCGGGCACGCGAAGTGGGTGGTGTTTTCAAAGTCAAAACCATTTCTTCCAACATTTGGTGTGCTCCTCCGTGCAAAAACAGCGAAACAGTTCCTCGCCGGGCAAATGCATTTCCCAGCTGTCTGCGCGGTCCACAGCGACGCACGAGGTGGAACAACGGGCGGCTGGGGCGGTTCTCTAGCTACGAGAGTGGCGACATGACGCGGGTCACAGCACAGCGCGTCGGGACACAGACCGGCTCTGTGAAACTGCAGCGTGGCCGCTGCAGAAAAGCATGAGTGCTTGAACGCATGCGCATCAACTCTGAGCTGTCTCTACATCTGGACGTTCGCCTCAAATAAGAAGGAACTACAAATGTGTTCTCTGTGGCCTATTGGCCCTCAAAGGGTTGATAGCTGAAGACTATACTGTACTATAGAAAATAATACCGTCTCGTGAACTAAAGGCATGCGCGCCTTTTCTCGAACACAAAATGCCTGAAGTCGTGACATGTCCGATGTTCTCTCACCGAACAGACTCCCCCTCTCGTTTTCACGAGATCTCGAAATTTTGGGGCTCAAGGCAAACTGTTCATGCTCTTCGCGCGATAGTATTCGGCGCGCATTTTGTCCAGGTTCCACCCTTGGTTGGCATTATGCCGCTGGAACCTGTTCCATGGGTTGGTCGGCTCTTCTTCGACCCTTCGGATCGGCCTGACCACCGGAGAAGCCTTCGCTTTGGCTCTCAGTGCATGCTGAAGCATAGTTGTCGCTGCTTCAGCGTTCACAGCAGCTAGATTCGCTGCAGCGGCCGCCTGGTGCGCGCTCTCAGCAGCACGCTCTGCCCCTTCAGCTGCCTGGCTGGCAGCTTGCACGGCATCATCAGCAGCCTCGCTGGCCGCTTGCAACTCAACAGAGTTGCTTTCACTTGATCTCCTCCTCATCGACCGTGATGATGTGCCGTGCAGCGAGCCCGATCGCCGCCTTGATGTCTGGGACATAGACCTTCTCCCTGTCATAGAAGTCCCTTCTCGATCATCGCGATCATCATCATCACTTGGCCTTGCCGCTCGCCTTCTTCGGATGGCTTGAGCTCCCTCCTCCGTCTCTTCCTCCGTCTCGGTGGCTTCAACCCCATTCGTGCCCTGGTCTGTCCTCCCCCACGAACGTGCCCGCCTGGGTCGCAAGGAAGTAGTATGGGCCCCTTCATCAGCTTCAGGCAGGTCCGATGAACTGGGTGGCTCACAAGTGACTCCATGCAATCGGCGTAGGCAGCACCCAAAAGAACTCACAGCCGCCTTCGCCACCCAGATTGCCCCAATGAGCACTAGCACTATGCCACACAACATCAAACCTCCAAAAACTGCATCGGAGTCCTGACTTCCTCCAGCTTCAGCTGCACGAACCAAGGCGCTCCCAGCCACAATTGCTCTCACAGCCAACTGATGGTCTGGTGCAGGAGGGGCGTTTTGACCAAGCTTCAAGCTGGCCACTTTCACTTCCGGAGGCTTCAAACCCAAATCACCAAAAAAACCTGCGAAACTCTGGCCAAGGAGCGGCTTTGTCATGCCATCGGCCACAAGCTCAGTGCCACGAAGATGGGCCAGCTTCCAACAGCCACCTGGATACGAGCCCTGCTCATCAAGTGCCTCCTTCAGGATGTTGGACCTCACACGCAAATGCCGGGTCCTCCAGGATGTAGCACTATTGCCGTAGGCGAGGCTGATGGCTGCGGCATTATCACCATAGATGACCCGCTCGAAGACATTCGAATTGTCCAGCGGCTCCCCCCACATAGCGCACAGCAAGGCTTCCGTTGCACGACCTGTGCATAGAGCTTCACAGTAGGAAACCAACTCTGCTTCAGCTGTGCTGTGGGTCACAAACGGTTGGGTGGCACTTTGCCATGCCACAGGAGCTCCAGCGAAACAAATCACTAGCCCTTGCACACTTCGGTGATTGGAGCCAGTGCCGTACGCTATGTCGGCGAACACCTCCAGTAGGCCTTCACGTCGTTGGATCTTGAGCTGATCCCTTGACCCCCATTTCTTCTTGATCTTCTGGGGATAGTGCAAGTCGCCAGGAGTGCCCTTCACATAGGCGAGCAAGGACTGGCCGATTTCGATGGCCTTTGCAGGGTTGCGAGTCACCAACCGACTGAGGGCCGCCACACCATAGGCCAAATCTGGCCGTGACCTGGTTGAAAGCCACAAGAGGGACCCTGCAAGAGCTTGTGCCTCGCGAATCTGCACCTTGTCCACCGAATCTGGCGGTTCCATGTCGGTCTCACTGACCTTGAAGTTCGGGAAGGTTGAGGCTTCCTTGACATTCCAGCGTGTGAGGATCTCCTGCTCATACTTCTGCTGTGACAAATGAAAACCATCACCATGCTCATCGGCAGAGATCTCAAAGCCGCAGAAGTGGACAGGAGAGGTAGGTGTTGCCTTTTCTACGCTGGATGTAGTCCAAGTGGCCTGCAAGGATGTCAGGGCTGCTGAGACTGCACTGTCTTCGCCACTGATGAGGATGTCATCAACATAGTACAGACATCAGACCTGTCCAATGATTCTCACCAGTCTCCGTGTCGGCCTCCTCCAACCGCCACAAGTTCTCATCAGCTGTTTTGACGAAGTAGCCCCTGACATTTCGCCCTTCTCTTTCCCGCACCCAGCTGACCATTGGAAGAGTGCGATCTCTGTACTGCGACCAATCCCTTGGGGACGTTGTGAGGCCGTACATGGCTAATTTTACCAGCCACACTTCACCTTCTCGGGCGAGGCCAAGGCGCTTGTAGACACTGGGAATCTCCATTGCCACCATCTTTCCATCCTCCCTTCTTGGGGCGTTCAAGAAAGCGACTCTGATGTCGGTTGCTGCCAGTGTCCACCCCTTCAAAGCCGAGGTGCGGACCAGAGCTCGCACTTGGCAGCCATCAGCTCCTCCAGCGTAGCAATCTCCACTGAACCTGGATTCGGAGTAATTGCCACAACATACAGCTCTTGCCCGACGTACTCCAGCTCCTGCTTTGCGGGTGTACACCATCTTGGCCGGAAGAAGCTCTATGGTTTTTCCTTGTGCTTCTGCCCGTTGGTGGAGCTCTCGCTTTGTGATTTGCTCCACTGCTTCCTTTGTCTTGACCAGCTGGTTGTACTCGGCAGTGATGGATGGGACCCAATTCTCAAAGTCATCCCAAACCTCCTTGCTGCCGACAGTCCTCGTGACCAGGAACTCCTCCTCCAGCTCTTTGGTCGCAAGTTCATCCACGTCACGATCATTCTGCAGGAGCATTTCTTCCACCTCCACCTTGTACATGATGGCCTCTGACAGGACTTCCATATAGCAGCCTTGCTCCGGGATGGTGACGTCCAAATGTTCCATTTCTTCGGACACATAGGCAGCCAAATTCGCCTGCAATGCTTTCAGCAACTTGATCTTATGGTGAGGATGTT